CGTGATGGGGGCGAGCGAAGCGAGCCCCCCCATCGGCCCCCCCCGGCTGGTGAGGGGGCCTCGCCGGAGGCGCCGCCGGAGGCAGAAAATTTGGTGCATTTTCCTTTCATTTCCCGTCAAAATGGGCCCAAATGCGGCATCAAAAAGGGCTTGACTTCAGCTGCAAACATCGCACGGAATGTAGAAAAAAAAAAAAAAGATTAAGATTGATGTATTGTCGCGTATCCTCAGCAGTACCCTCCTTCGGTCTCTCCCTGTGTCTACTTCCCGGTTGGTTCTGGACATGGTGCTGTTGTCTGCTGTTTCTGCGCTGCTGTGCTGTGTGTGTGTGGCGTACAGGGGCTCCGTACTGCTGCGCATACCCTAAATTTGATTCACGGAGCCCCTAAGAAAACATCGGTCGGAACATCGGCACGAATTTTCGATACCGATATCGATATATATCGGACGATATATATCGTGTACATCGTTCCGATTCACAACTCTACTAATCTTGTAATATTACTTGAAGGTTGGTCAGGGGTGGTATATTGCGTCACGAACGGTATGTAGCCGCCACTGAACAAGGCACTCGCTGCGAAAGACTTCAGCACATCCCCTTCGACTGTTGTGATATTATTTGGAACGGACAGTCTCTCTTTGATTGTTTTTTTTCTCAACAGATTTCCATGTAGTTATTATTTGCAAAAAGACTGCTGTCGTGAGGTCGCGTTGGGACTGACTCATCCGCAGGGTAAATCCGGGACATGGGCCCGAAAGGGTTCGATTTTGCCAACGTGCGCAAGAAGAGCAGCCAGTGCACTAGTCACACGCCACGCGCGTTGCTGCCAGTGGAGAGTTCGGGATGAAATGAGGCCTCCTGTTTACGGATAGCCTGGCGACTCCGCCCAAGGTTATTTATTATCTGTACGTGCTGTTCCCTGCGAGGGGAATCGGACATCAAAGTGGATTACCCACTCCCTTATCGGACAACAGGAAACTCGAAAACTTGCTCAGCCGACACCACTCGTTGGCGGGCCGAACCACTCAGAGTATCAGTACCTCTGCATCCGCCGCCGCACCCCAGCTCCTTGATGTGTCGGTTCTATGTGCGGCGTTACAATTGTAGGGTCTCTGCACATGCTGCCTGATGTGCAACCTTCGTTGCTTCTTCTCTCTCAGTCCCTCTCTCCCTCTCTCTCTCTCGCCTCTAGTACATGTTTTCCATGCTCTTTTGTCGTTGGTTGCCGAGCCGTGAACAGCTCACACCCGCCCGCTATTGGTATAGATTAGTTGCACGTGTTCTCACACAGTCCCATGGGCCCTCCCTCCATCCGCCTTTTTTTTTTTATTTCTCTCCTTCCCACAATAGACTACCTATTTTTTACAGTCTTGTTTTTCGCTCGAAGGAAGCCTAAACCAACCCACGCCTCCGCTTTGTCCCACAGGCTTGCGTGCCCCGCGTCCCGCGCACCCGGGTGCTGAGAAGAGCATCACGAAGAACCCCCCCCCCCGGCATATGACGCCGCATCTGCTGTACAAGACTTGGGGCAAGGGGTCATGACCACGTCCATGAAGAGGCGGAAGACGCGAGGCTTTGGTAGGACATGGATGGGGCATGTTGGGTGAGGGGGGGGGGGGG